TTACTCGAACCACGCTCCGAAGCCTCGGCGCAGTCACATCACTACTCCTGTGTTTTCTACATCTTCCCGGTTTGTTTCTAGTTTGTGGTTTGCTACTTTCCTTTGTATTTAACCTTGCCTGCTCCTACAGTTTATTTAGAACCAGCTTTTATTTTAATAAAGCTTGCTTTTTGTTACTCTCTTACACCTCCCCTGTTTAATACTGCATTTGGGTCATGCCCTCCTTACCCCTTGATAAAAAATACTAATATAAATAGTGACATAAATAATAATGATTCAAAATATACAATATACTAAATACATACAGAAATAGGGAAGAAAAATAGTGCAGTAAAATAAATAGTGCAACCACGGTCCGGGTAAAACACAGGAACAGTTAAATTATGTTCATTTTAGATAGAGTACTCAGACAGCTTTTTGGGAGCATGACACTTTCCATGCAAGGTGACACAGAGAAATATAACGGTGAATAAAATCCACAACCTTCAGACTGAAGTTAACCACTTTAGATACAGGGACATGCAGACAGAAACAAATACTTCACCCTCCTCTCCGGGCTCCTGAAGAGAGAGGGTAAACACAGACGAGGAAATCTATGAAAGCCGTGAGGACACGGACACTGGGGAACAGAAGAGCAGAATATATATGGAATAGCATTATCTTCTGTTGTACATAACCTGCAAGCCCGTGTCAGGCTGACTCCCACCAGCACCTTCAGGGGTGGTAGAAAAATATCACTGGTCACCGGCTTGAGGGGTATCAAGGGGTAAGGAGGGCATGACCCACCGGCTTGAGCTTGTGATGACTACTTCCATTCAAGAGAGGATACTAAATACATGTATCCTGAGACTGAAGCTTCATTTCATTGAAATTAAATTAAATGAAGCTTCAGTCTCAGGATCCATGTATTTAGTATCCTCTCCAGAATGGAAGGAGTCATCACATACAGAGCATCAACTAGTTCCTGAACAGTGTCCTTCACATGCTGATATCCAAGAGAGGGAGTTACACAGTCACAAGATGGAGGAATAGAAAGCAGTATTCAATGTTTACTTCAGATTAGCTCCACGTCAGAAATGAGCATGCTTGTCACATGTCTCTCTCCATAGAGGCTGAATCATCATGTTAATCACATAGCTATCATATGCCTCACACAGTCCTGATGCTCTTCTAGGTAATCATACATCCTGTCATGTTCACAGCTACAGTTGGGATACCTTTGTTATCATGTGGACTCTGATATTGGAAGAGGACATTCAGTGTTTTCTCAACAGGGCGCGTCTCACGGTGTGTTGGCATCTTTTGGCACGACGCCTACATAATAGAGGGCAGATCCGACCGGGGGACTGGCAGCCACCCGGTGAAGTGGAACTGAAAGAGAGGAGGAGGGCAGGGGGTGTTTTGAAGAGTGGGCAGAGTGAGTTACTGACTCCATGACAACCTGTTGACAGGTACACCTGAACATCAGCAGGAGAGGACTCTTTAAAGTAGAGACACTACATACTGATATACACCTGAACATCAGCAGGAGAGGACTCTTTAAAGTAGAGACACTACATACTGATATACACCTGAACATCAGCAGGAGAGGACTCTTTAAAGTAGAGACACTACATACTGATATACACCTGAACATCAGCAGGAGAGGACTCTTTAAAGTAGAGACACTACATACTGATATACACCTGAACATCAGCAGGAGAGGACTCTTTAAAGTAGAGACACTACATACTGATATACACCTGAACATCAGCAGGAGAGGACTCTTTAAAGTAGAGACACTACATACTGATATACACCTGAACATCAGCAGGAGAGGACTCTTTAAAGTAGAGACACTACATACTGATATACACCTGAACATCAGCAGGAGAGGACTCTTTAAAGTAGAGACACTACATACTGATATACCACCTGAACATCAGCAGGAAAGGACTCTTTAAAGTAGAGACACTACATACTGATATACACCTGAACATCAGCAGGAGAGGACTCTTTAAAGTAGAGACACTACATACTGATATACACCTGAACATCAGCAGGAGAGGACTCTTTAAAGTAGAGACACTACATACTGATATACACCTGAACATCAGCAGGAGAGGACTCTTTAAAGTAGAGACACTACATACTGATATACACCTGAACATCAGCAGGAGAGGACTCTTTAAAGTAGAGACACTACATACTGATATACACCTGAACATCAGCAGGAGAGGACTCTTTAAAGTAGAGACACTACATACTGATATACACCTGAACATCAGCAGGAGAGGACTCTTTAAAGTAGAGACACTACATACTGATATACACCTGAACATCAGCAGGAGAGGACTCTTTAAAGTAGAGACACTACATACTGATATACACCTGAACATCAGCAGGAGAGGACTCTTTAAAGTAGAGACACTACATACTGATATACACCTGAACATCAGCAGGAGAGGACTCTTTAAAGTAGAGACACTACATACTGATATACACCTGAACATCAGCAGGAGAGGACTCTTTAAAGTAGAGACACTACATACTGATATACACCTGAACATCAGCAGGAGAGGACTCTTTAAAGTAGAGACACTACATACTGATATACACCTGAACATCAGCAGGAAAGGACTCTTTAAAGTAGAGACACTACATACTGATATACACCTGAACATCAGCAGGAGAGGACTCTTTAAAGTAGAGACACTACATACTGATATACACCTGAACATCAGCAGGAGAGGACTCTTTAAAGTAGAGACACTACATACTGATATACACCTGAACATCAGCAGGAGAGGACTCTTTAAAGTAGAGACACTACATACTGATATACACCTGAACATCAGCAGGAGAGGACTCTTTAAAGTAGAGACACTACATACTGATATACACCTGAACATCAGCAGGAGAGGACTCTTTAAAGTAGAGACACTACATACTGATATACACCTGAACATCAGCAGGAGAGGACTCTTTAAAGTAGAGACACTACATACTGATATACACCTGAACATCAGCAGGAGAGGACTCTTTAAAGTAGAGACACTACATACTGATATACACACCTGCCAAAAACAAGCTTCTCCTTCAATTTCTTCAGTGATTTCAGCAGCGCTTTTCAGAAAAGTTTAAATATATTCAAAACGACGTTCAGAGTGGTCACAAGAAAAGGTGGAGGGATGCGCCCTCTACTGTTTGAAAACAATATAAAAATGCTGCTGGCGGTCAGAAAAAGATGCCATGTTGTCTTAATAATGCAGATGCAGATAGTAATGGATCTCTGTCATTCTCTGGGTAATGAGCCTCTTCAGAGTAAACATGTTCGAACAACATCTCTGAGAGCTTGTTTGGTCGTGACGGTCGACTCTTGCAGGCACTTTAAAGTTTAAACAATATCAAGTCAACAACGCGCCTCATAAATATTGACGAGGCCTTTCTCTCAGAAGCAAACAACCCACATGGTCAAACAAGACTTCCATCCCATTTAAGCTTTATCTTATAATAACTGTAAGGGCAATTTTCTGCTTAGTAAGCACACTTACTTAAATTACTACATAGTGGCCCAGAGTTAATTCATGTACTACTGTATGTAAATGAAGTCTTTCAGCCTCAGTGCAGAGCAGCAGTTCTAGCATGTCACATTTAAGCCTTTGCTTGCTTCAGTTTTTTTGCACGACTCAACTAATCCATCTTATTTTTTGCACGTATTAATCACCTCAAACCGAATCAGGCTGCTTGAAGAAAAGCTTCCCTTCACCCCCCTGTGGATTAGCCTCTTTTTCTCTGCGTAAATCAATGATACAGTTGTCTCTTGCTGTTGAAATCACGGTTCAGACACCCTAGTATTGCTGATTTCCTCATTGATGCACCTCATGATTGCAGTTGCAGTGACACAAAAGCACTTACGATTGGCTCAAATTGTTGCAATTTCCTTTTTTCTATGAAAAGAGAAAATGATTATTGTCTGTTGTAGTGACTGCAGTTGTGGTTAATGTAGGTTGAGAGGAGATACCTGTAGGGCCTATGGTTAGAAGTCCTTGTATAGACTTATTTATGTGCAGGCTCTGAAAGGGGCAGAGAACATCGACCAAATCTGTGTTCCTCGTTGACGCTCTTCATATGATCTTGTTTCTACTGTGCACTGTTTGATAACAAGGGGATACTATATTGTACTTTAAGGGCACTTCTTCAGGAGTGCTTGGAGAAGGTGGCCAAAGCATTATAAAACAGCTTTTATACCAACTATCCTAAAATGCCAATGTTCTTCTCTGGAAGATTTCTGATAAATCAATCAACCTAAACAGGATTTTATTTTGCTCAATTTAAGTTTCATATCAGTATTTAGTGCCTCTGCCAGGGGCGTCGTAGTGTGGGGACAAGTGGGACTGACTACCCCTGGCCCAGATGGGGGGAGGGCCCTTGAAAGGCATGGAATTAAAGTTTGCTTTTGTTTGCAGTAGTATATATAGTGTCATCATAACTAAAATGAAACCAGCTCAATAAAATCGGTTGATTGACGCAGTAGATAGTATACCCCACTGTTGAATTTAAAAACGGCGGATGCTAACAAGTGTCTAAATGAGACGACTAAATGTCATCACGACCAACATTAGCCGCCTTTAGCTTAGCGGTGGTGACGTGAAGTCATGTGACCGTGCTGTAGTTCCTTTATAGCCCAACATTAACCACCTTTAGCTTAGCGGTGGTGACGTGAAATCATGTGACCGTGCTGTAGTTTCTTTATAGCACAACATTAGCCACCTTTAGCTTAGCGGTGGTGACGTGAAGTCATGTGACCGTGCTGTAGTTCCTTTATAGCCCAACATTAGCCACCTTTAGCTTAGCAGTGGTGACGTGAAGTCATGTGACCGTGATGTAATACGTTATCCCAATCTATAGTTGTGATGGATTATAACCTATGATTAAATATACCTTGATTCTTCAATAATTGATGTTTTCTGTCTCAGGGACCGGGTTTTTGTCATTATCAATTTAGATAAAAAAAATCAGCTTTGATGGCCTAGTGGTTAAGGCGTTGGACTCGAAATCCATTGGCGTTTCGCCGCGCAGGTTCAAACCCTGCTCACAGCGTTGGGAAATGATTAACATACTTGCATTTCAGGTAGCGGTTCAGATGTTAAGTTAAGATTGCGTAACATGAGCTCAGCTAGAACAAAATGTAAAGCCTTATATTTGAAGGTAAAAAAAAGAAGTAAATAACACACGTCCTGTAACAATGCATCATTGCACAGGAAAAAGACAGGCTTCGGCTGTGACATGTCTCCATGCTTTAATGATCAAAAAGCTCTTTTTTGATCATACTGTACTTACTGTGCTGCAGCACCTCTTTCCACCCTCTGTCTGAAATCACACTCAATGACCTTCATCTTTGCTACGTAACGTTAGATTCACTACCACCAGCTATTCAAGTAAAAGTTGTACATGTCTTTTTTTTCTATATTTAATGCACGATCCTCTATACTAGTGTTGGGAAAAGACCACTGTTAATTCCACTGGTAATAGAACCATCTGTAATATTTTGCTACCATGAACAATGACGTTGATAGCTAACAGTGGTGATTGTCACATCTGGTAAAGGCACAGCAGCAGTGTGTGATTTGAGACAACACCACAGTCAGAATTGCACAAGTGTTCAAAGTGCAGAACATGCCATGTACTACAGAAATAATCAACATTGAGACACAGCTACACAATGCAGACAGAAAGGGGGAGGACAAAGATGTGTAATCAAAAGGTGTAGGATTAAACCATATCAATGCTAACAGCAAATTAGTTAAAGGTAACAGGATTGTTTTGCCACACAACACCTGAGCTCACTGGAGAGAGAGACTTTTTTTTGGTGTGAAGAACTGTGACAGTGCTGACTGAAGGACACAACAGAGTGCAGAACATGCATTACCACATTTAACCAGCTTACTGTGAACATGCTCTTTCAATCTGCTCCATCACCCCTGGCAGAGAGACTGAGCTCACACACACCTATTCAGCATGTGTGAAAGCATGTGTGTGTGAGCGAGCGGGAGACAACCTGTTCAAATGCCACATTATGAGAAATAAACATACCAACCAGTATGCCAGACCACTGTTATATATTACTACAATTAGTTTATCATTTCATGCCATAAGCCCGCAGATGGAAGCTTTGCACCATTGACTCCTCAGCCAAGCACAGCCAGCAAATGTCAGACTGGAGGCCTCTGAGAACTGCTGCTAAATCCCTCCGATGACCTGATTCTGCTGCAGCGCCTCTGCTTTTCTTCTCTTATCTATGCACCAAAACCAAGAGAAATCATTATGTTGGAGCCGTTTCTCTCGCAGTGCACACTGAGGATTTATACAGTCATTTACAAATTGTCATCCTGGTTTTTATAGCACTTTATGTTTCCCATTCACCATGTGTTTCTTGTATAAATGGTTTATTGAGTGACAAAACAAAACATTTGTTCCCCACTGTAACATGGCAGTGATGGGCAGTAAAGCATTAAATGCATGTGTCGTAAAAGCCCAGATTTTTTTTTAACTGTGGGTCTAAATCTTCAGGATTGGATTATATCTTTTCACCCTCCGTCTGAAACCTGAGCCCAGTGTGCTCTGATTGGTTAGCTATAGTGATTGGTCAAATGCTTAGGGATGTCCCGCCCCTTAGCCTATCACGTACAATGTGTTGGGGAGAATGAAATGGAGCAGCCTGTCCTCCTACAAAAAACGACCATACAGGCCGATTGTTCAAGCCCTTATTACGACCCAGAGACACGTTTTAAAGTGTATGTTGTTTCTTACACGACCACTAGAGGTGCTCTAGTAGTCGTGTAAGAAACAACATGCTTGATTGCAAACGCTCCGGAGGGACGTTTATTCACAAATAACCCTCTCTGGAAAATCCTAAATTGTGGAATAGTTTGGCCATTAAAATGCTTTCTGATTCGATTTCTAGCGAGAAGTGTATATTGTAGTCTTAGAATCCACGTCCAGTAGGATCTATAGTTTGATAGATATTACGAAGATGATTTGAGGTCTCGCCAGGATAACGTGTATATGGTAGCCTGTCCTCCGACCAGAGATGGGGTCGTTACTAAAAAAAAGTAATATATTACATATTACATATTACTTTAAAAAAAAGTAATATATTACACTACTTTGTTACTCTCTACATAAAGTAACTCGTTACTTTACTCGTTACTTTACTCGCAGGGCCGGCCCGCCCCTCCCTACAGGCAGATCACGCAGACTGCTAAAGTTTCAAATGTTCTCTTTAGTTCAGTTTCCATTGTCGCATAAGACTGATCCAGATAGCTCTGACCATGGCTGTCCTCTGTCTCCTGCTATCTGTATTTTGCGCAGTATATCTCTGAACGATGCGATGGTGATTCCACTGTGCAAATGGGCAACATTACCTCTACTATGAAGGATGCTACAAGCCTGTCCATCTCTGCTTTGGTTACCGGTCCTCCAAATTCTAATTTGTGCTGCTTCAGAGTCGGCGGCGGCGCACTCACAACATCCTCACTCTGGGTTCGGGGGTCCTTAGCTATTAGCTTCACCTTAGCATGTGTTCTTTGCAGGTGTTTGTTGAGGTTTGACGTGGTGTTTGCAGCAGTGGATAACAGCTTCTGGCCTGGACACAGTTTGCACCTCACCGTCACATTCCTGTCTATTCTTCGGACGAACTCAAAATAATGGGCATACCTCCACCCCTCGGAAGTTATCGCTGACTCAGCCATGTTTATGCAGCACTGCACGTGGAGATGTGGACGCGCAAGTCGCGCAGATTACGTACATATAAACCTGCGGCGGAAACCCCTCTTGTCTGTCAGTGTGATTATGACTGATTTTATAAAAGTAACGAAGTAACGCGTGTCGGGGCAATGTTAGTAACTGTAGTGTGATTACTGAATTATAAAAGTAACGCGTTACACTACTCCGTTACCGACAAAAGTAATATTATTACAGTAACGCGTTACTTTGTAACGCGTTACACCCAACTCTGCCTCCGACACATTTGGTCATAATAAGGGATTGAACAATCGGCCCATTTGGTCGTATGATTTAGAGAACTTGTTGAAATGGAGGTTGATTCTTACACTAAAAGCATTTCTACTGTTCACGCCAAGAAAAAACACTGCTCTTGTGTGTCACTTTGGATGAGTTATTGATATTCATAAGGCTAACAGCTATTGAGAGAAGGTGACTTCTGTGTAATGAAAATGGCAAGAACTTCCAGGAAAGAAAGGTGTACCTTTGGTTGGATTTTTCTAAATAAGAGTCCAAAAGTCTTTATTCAAAGGAACAGGGAAAAACTGTATTCGTCTGCAATGTAGATTATAACCAGAACTGGAATACAAACAAACTGTGCAATGTGATTTCTAAAATCATTCACTTATTTAAATTGTACAGCTGCACATTGGGGCAGAGGTTTAATGTTACCAGCTTATCAGTATCATTCAATTAATACAAACATTTACCATGAGGTTGTAATGGTTTCCTGGTGTAAAGACCAATAAGCCAGGGCCATTCCTCAGATGCTTAAGGTGCTGCAAACTGACCAGAAGCTCGATTTTGGAATATTATTTTTGTCCTTTTATGAAAGTTTTGATGCAGTTAATTTGATGAAATGCTAATTTGCTTAGGTTTACATGTATCGTGTATTTTGATCTCACTGAATTGCATCTCCAGTAGACCTAAGTATTATATGTGTTGGATGGCACAGCACTGTTTCCAAATCCAAACTGACATTTTATTGTTCAAAACTTTACAAGAGTTGCAGGGAGTTTTCTTGGCACCCTGCTGGGTTGTCAGACCCTGCTGCCAGAAACTATGGTGTTAGTTTTCTTTTGTGACCTGGCTTTGAACCACATGTCAAAAAAATACTGTTTCTTACAACTCAGCGTTATTGTGAAAAAATAAACCCTTTATTTCTTTGGATATTTCTTTTCCTCCAAATCAGCTTGCAGAACAGTCTCCTTGCCAGCCTTAGCCAAAGGTCACTTTTTTGCTTTTTCTTTCTCTCAACCACCTTGGCGTGACTCCATTGGCTTCCTGTAAAGCAAATACAACACTCTGATAATGTATTACATTTAAAGAACATTTTAGACTTGGCTCCTTCATGGACAATGGCAGATGTCCAGCAGTACAGCACTTTAAAATGTATTTTCTTGCTGTTCAGAATTGGTCAAAATTGGAAAAGATTAGTCCACCAATAGTTAAAATATGGCCACTTACCGGTTTAAATTGCCATTTTGAGTTATGTAAAGGTCAGAAAAGTATTCAGCGTCGTCAATAAACCCCAAAAAACTTCAATAATGCAAAAATTAGCCAAGCAGTCGCTAGATATATTGTCCATATAGTGCTCATAATGCTATTAAATAATCAACTATATATTAACTACACAAAAAGCCAAACATGAAATTTAGCATAAACAGGTTTTCAGAATCAAATTTAGATTCTTGGTCTCATTAAATTAAAGTTTAAATGATTTCTTCCCGCTCCCATCTTTGATGTTAGCAGACATTGTGCAAATAAAATATGTACAATGAGCAGCTGGTTTTTGCCTCATTTGGGTTGTTTTTTTTAATTGATAAACTGTTCAAGGAGACTTTGGTATCACACAGCCTCTGCAGGATGGCCTATTTTCAGAGGAAGTGCATCAATTAGGCTGTGTATTCGAGCATTTCTTCAAGACCATAGGATGAGAGGGACTTCATCAAGGCCCAGTTTTGTACCCAAGACTGAAAATATTTATGAAAAAAAAGTTGCTTCATAAAGAAAACTCGGTACCACTTTACAATAAGATTACCCTTATTAATTAGGTTGTAAACACTTTATTAATCCTTAAGAACCATTTATAAACCAGTTCTAACATAGTTTTCATACATCAACACAGGTTCACTATTTGGCAAGATGACTAAGCCTTATGTTGGCTACTTAGCGATAATCAATTTAGTGAACAACAGATACCAAGGATGCTGGTTGATGAAGGAGACAAATGGCGCATTTCCACTACACGGCCTCGCTCGGCCTCGCTCGGTATGGCTAGGCCTCGTTAGGACTGGCTCACTTTATGGCGCATTTCC